CTATGCTCTCTCTCTCCCTTCTCTTTCCTAGTTTCCATTCTTTTATCCCTTACCCTTTCGCAAATTATATTTTTATATTTTTTTACCTTTATTAATTTTACCATATAAAAAAATTTATTATTTGCTATAAACTTTTGATAACATATTATATCAGCAACTATTGAAATAAAGAGAGAATTTACCCGTCAAATTATGTCATTAATTATTTGTTAATTTTTATAAGTGTGGCTATATTTTTATTATATTTTAAAATTATTTATTCAATAAGAACTCAAATCAAAATATTATATTTAAATTAATTGAGATTCATGCCGAGATATTATACTAAATCACCCCCCCCCTTCCCAAATAAACAGAAAAGATAAAAAGAAATCTATAAAGATCGTAAAATATAACTTATATTTTGATCACCACCTGTAGTATGCCTAATTCTCTTATTATTACATACTTCATTAAATTCACTATGAGTAAAATGCTCTCCTTAATATTAGGAACTCAATAAATAGCAATATTGTGATCACATGTATTTATATCGTTTTTTCTTTTTCAAACATATTTTTATATTCAGATCTTATAGAATATTTGACTATATGACCAGGTCAAATATTCCCCCGTTTAATTGACCCGTCAAAATCTAATCATTTGACTAGTTAATTGACTGACTGCTAACCCTGGCCAAAATTGATTGATAAATTTATAAATATTAGGTCTAGTGTTGTTAAACGGCTCATTTTGAGCCGATTTTTAAAAACGGCTAACTCAATATTTTAGCCAGAAAAATATTGCCTAAGCCTTGAGATTTTTTAATAGATGTTCAAACCTTTGTTCCTTCTGCAAACAAAATCTTCAGTCTTGCTTAACATTATTCAGGATGAAATATTGAGTTAGTCGTTTTTAAAAATCGACTCAAAAAGAGCCGTTTAACAACACTAATTCAGTCATCAGACTATAAATAGGAATGCTACCCAGATATCAATTTCGCCAGTAAATATCAAGATTTAATAAATAAACTCAATGATTAATATATTGATAAAGCTGAGTTCCTTGTGAGCGATTATTATAAAATAAGAACTTCGAAGAAAAGGATAGGATAGCGAAAAAGTGTATTTCAATAACAAATTTCATAAACCAGATCTAAGTTTATTAATCATTATATATATTTTTTAAGGTTAAAAGAATATTACAAACTATCATTGTGAATCAATCTTCAACCTATTTTAAAAAAATATTATTCAAATAATTTAATTATAAAAAAGTGATTCAAAATAAATTAGTCATTATTAGCAATTATCGCGATATTAAATTCTCTATAATATCTTCGCGATATATGTTTCGCGATAATAACTTCGCTATAAAATTTTTGCCATTATTGATTCGCGATTAAAGTTTCGCGGTAATGTATTCGCTTTAAAGGTTTCGCGATAAAGATTTCGCTATAAAATTTTCGCGATTATTGATTCGCGATAAAAGTTTCGCGGTAATGTATTCGCATTAAAGGTTTCGCGATAAAGGTTTCGCTATAAAAAATTCGCGATATTTGTTTCGCGATATTGTATTCGCGGTAATGTATTCGCTATAAAGGTTTCGCTATAAAAAATTCGCGATATTTGTTCGCGATATTGCATTTGCGGAATAGTATTCGCTATTATGGATTCGCGATAAAAGTTTCGCTATAAAATCCATTCGCGATAAACGACATTCGCGATAAAAGTTTCGCTAAAAAGTGTTTCGCGATAAAAGTTTCGCTGAATTGACATGGAACCCAAATCGAGTTTGAAACGGTAAAAATCGTTACGAATCGACCTCGTTTTAGAAAATTGCAAAATGGGAGGGGGGGGGTCTAACTTCATGATATAATTTTAATTTAAAAAATGATTTTGGAAATAAATAAAAACATTAATAGCACACATTTTCTTAAAAAAATTTTTGAAATAATCTAACCATATTGTCTTTAAAGTTATACAAAAAATATGAAATTTTAACTACATGAACTAGAGTTGAAGTTACCAATCATTCTCAAATTTGGATTTTTTTTATTTGAGTCAAGCAAAAGATATGCCACTCAAATTAAATATCAAATGCTGCCTGAAAATAAAATGTGATATTGGAGTGTATGGGGGGGGGGGATTTTTGTCAGCATAAAATGTTATTTAAAAAACAGGCATATCTGCGATGGAGGAGTGCTATTCCCCTCAGACCCCCTACTTACGCCTTGGACCTAATAAACCTATTAATTAGGAGTTAAAAATTTTCTGAAAATAAAGGCCTCATCGGTTATATAAAATATTTTCACCCAAATAAATTTCAACATATTATTAACACGGGTATCAAGGAAGAATCACTGGGAGAAGTTTCGGATTATAATGATTCGCATTCTAATAAATGTAAAAATTGTCTAATTTATGTGTATGATCTTCTGCATATTTACAATACTACCTCATACACTCATTTCTTGCTTGCGCATTTATATTGATATTGTAAGTGAGTCAAGTAAAGTGGGAACGAAGATGTAAATTAGAAATAAAAATAGAGTACGTCCCAGTATTGGGTAGGACAGATTAGAATCTTCTCTACTTATGTCAGATCAATTCAATTTGAGGATATCCTCCATTATTTAAGAAAACATAAGTCTTTATTATATAATTTATTAACATATAATTAAAATATATATTAGTTTAAGGCAATTTTATATGTGCATTTATAACTATAATAAAACATTAAATCATTTAATTTAATCGAAAGTTGCAAGGAAAAGACACTATACTTGTAATGTTTTATAAAGATTAAAGTGCAATTATTTTAATAAAAGATGATATATGGTGTAAATTTTTTTAATTAAATAATATATTTATACCTCATAAAATAAATTATCAAATAAAAAGGAAATTTCTAACCCGTCACTCTTTTTTCTGCTAAGTCGGTATTCGATTATTTAAATGGTAATAATTCAGGATAACGTTTTGCTTTATTAGAATGATGATTATAATTGAGTTAAATATTGGTATTAGCTGTTAAAGTTTCCTTATACCCATCTCTAATCTCTATCTATATTAGAAATCTGCAAACCTCGACCCGACAGGATTTTTTGTACAAGTTGCCCAGATCACACCCTTATTTAAATGTTTGTCCGACACATCTTGATCCGATTATTTTTCTGATTTTTCCCCAGCTCTATCTGTTAAAATTATACAAAAAGTCAGACCCACCCGGACATAATATTTTTTAGATAAATATTTTTCCCACCATTTTTAACATCTATATCTAATTTTTCCTAATTTATATGGCTATCTGTTCCTCTATCTAACAATCATTTAATATATTTATTGTATTTTAATTTCGATATTGAATATCATAAATAACTGGTTTAATTTTTTGTGAATTTACAATTTTATTTACAGATTTAGTATAGACTATTAAAATATAAAAAAAATGAGCATTTATTTATTTACAAAGAGTATGGATCAAAGTCAAAACATGAAATTCACATAAAATATATCAAAATTTTAATGCCCGGCTTTCCCAATTTTACGATAAATGAGAGATTTGCGAGGCTTGGCGCTATTTTTTATTAATGAATTGCCTAGCCATTCTCTTATTCGACCAGGCCCAATACTTTGCCCAGTTTAGACCAGTATAATTATTAAAAATATTTGACTGGAATATTTTTTTCCTTTATTCCTCGAAATTTTTAGCAAATTCATATATAATTTATTAAAATAAGCTCAAATATTTTTAAAAATTTAAACATTATCACCGAAGATGGTTATATATTTTATTTGAAAAAAAAAATAAAATAATGTATTAAAATAAGTGAGGAGGTGCCTCAAGGTTATGGCACTGTGGATTGTTATATTATATGAGTTACAAATTTCCATTGAAATTCTTTGACATAGGTAAAAACCTTCCTGAGGATAGCCCGAAATTAAGCGTATTTTTTGGTCGAGTGTTTGAAGAAATCTTTGGCTTAGGGCCCAAAAGAACCGATTAGTGATAATCAATGGGGGTTAGAGTAATATTAGGAATGTTAATATATTTGTTAATTTTTCTTATTGATTAAGGAAATATATATATATAATTATAATTTAAGAATATTAGTAAATAAATAGAATTTATAACCATGATTGTGATATATGTTTGGAAAATGCTAACTCTAGCATTAGACTTTTATTAATCCCTTACCAATAATTCTAAAAAATAATTTGATTTTTTTTTGGATCAATATAAAAAAGACCTATAGAGATTTTAGCCAAAATAATATGTAAGATTCGAGATAAAGGTCCAAACCTTTCTGCCATCCATGCGCAAAATCCCCAGGCTTACATAAAATTATTTTGGCTAAAATCTTAATCTGCTTTTAACAACATTAATAAACATAGCTTATAAGGTAAATTGGCCCACCAAAGAATTCAGGGTATAAATATTGGTTTACAAATTTTTTGATATTAAATTTTTTATTGATACTACACAATTAGTAAATAAAATTGAGATTTTTGTAAAAAAATGTAGGAATAATTTATAAGACGAACCTTCAAAATGACTTCTATTTAATAAACCTTTTGTTTATAGTAATAAATTGGTCGCACCCGATTTTTTTGAATGCTAAAGCAGAATTTTTGATCAAATATTCCAAATCTTTTTTGATAAATATCTTATAAGTAAATTTTTTGCAATTTTATTCATAAAAAATCATTCATGATGAAATCAAATTTATTTTTAAAAAATTTTCTATATTTTTTGATGTTTAAAGATTTGTAGTCAAAAAAATCTACAAATGAAACTTCAATTTTTAGTCACCTTAGACTAAAACATATGACTAGTTTTCTAACGCATCAAAAACTTTTAAACTGTTATATATAATGTCCAGGACAATTGAGATGTTTTTTAAAAAAAATTGTCTTTTTTCCTGGAGTTTTCCTTTTAGGATTATAACACGGGTATATATTTAATAAGCAATTATATTTTAATCATTATAAACGAAAAATTTATTTTATCATAATAAGTCTGTTTAGGCTGGCAATTTGACTGTGGAATAGGGGACAAAAACAATCCGAAATGTATTTTGAACAACTTCTTAAATAATGGTAGAAAAGACTGTTTAAATGGAATCGATGAATTTCAATGATGTTACCTTCAAATATATGACATTTTTAAAAAAGGAGAATATTAAATTATTGTTTATTTTATATTTTAATCATTTTATAAATCTTTATTAATTTAAAAATATTAACAATACACACTTTAAGTAGTTCAAAACAAATATTTTATTTTAGTTTTATATGCCTTATTGGGATATATAATCATAGGGATTCCGAATCTCTCGATAAATATTCTATTTAAATTTATCTTATATATTTTTTCTACAATATTTTATTTATTCAACAAATCATTATATTTATCCTTATCTTAAACATGGTAATCTTCTTAAAACTTTTGTGACATTCGCACATTTCTTTTTGTTCTATTATTGGTCACTATTCCGGTACTTTTCTGTTCAAGACTTGCCTTTTTTCATTTGTTAATTTCGAAAATTTTCATTGATCTTGTTCAGTGAGTTTTTCCTTGAGTTGATTGGAATTTATTTTTATTTTTTTTATAAACATTGATCTCAAAGGCATGTTCTTTTTCTCATTTATACTCTACCACTTCATCGGAGTTGTATTTCATTTGCCAAGCTAAGACCTTGAATGATAACCAATATGTGTTTCATTGTCAATTATATTCTTTCTTGACATCAAACCCTTCGAAATAATTTAATTACTGTAATCGACATAAACTGTTTATTATGTTTACCTCTGCCCATCTCATATAGATATCGATTGTCACACCATCCAGTGCTTTTTATCTATTGATGAAAAATGACTGCCTCTAATCCGTTTTCTGAAATGTCATAGTCTATTCCCCTAGTTAGTTTGCATTGTAAGATACTAAAATATTTTTGTTAGTCAATTTATATACTTAAACATTTTTACTTTTATACCTGATAGTTTAGGTAGTTTGACACATCTCCCATGTATGTCAAATATATTTCCTGATAAATAATAATGCTTAGAGCAATGCCAGGTCAAAATTTTTAAATTGCGGGAGAAATTTGGTATTTTTCAAGAGAAATATGAATTGCGGGAGAAATGTAGTAGAAATATAAAAAAGTTTAATATAAAATCGGTAATTATTTTTCAAATCAGATAACTATTTTTCAAAATAAAATAGGTAATTATAGTACGCAAAATTTTTTAAATACTATTTTTATTTATAAAATACATCTATTAAAATATATTAATTTTATAAAAAAACGAACTATCTTTTTTAAATATAATAGAATGTAAACATGATAAAATTTTATAAAAAAACGATTTTAATTTTAAAATGTAAAATATATATTTTATGCGAATGTCCCGCAAAACTACCACAATTGGAAATCTACCGTGTGTTTGTGTATAACATTATAGCCTTTTCCCATAATATTTAACGATTCAAGATAAATAAAAATTTTACTTGCAGAACAAAAATGAGAAAGGCTATTATCAGAATTGAATCCAGGAGGTCAATTTTTGACTATTTGAAAGATGGGCACCCATATGCAATTCTAACAGATGCATCTATTAAGGGAAATATTAAAACAACTATTAAATTTTTTTCCCTCATATAGTGAAAAATCCAAAGACGTAGCTAACCATATAATGGTATATGTAGCAGATTCAAGATTATCAATGAATTGCATGTCAGCTTTCTGATCTGATAATCCCTCAGTGAATTTGGCAAAATCCAGAGTGTATTTACAGAATTTAATTAACAAAATGTTGGTTACGACATGTTCCTAATACCCGCCATCGATGGAATTTTAAAATTTTACATACCTTTAAAAAAATCTTTCTTAAATAAATTATAAAAGCTATCCTAACAATTTGAAAGTAGGAAATCTACTACATGCTGTTAATATGAAGTTACAATCAGAAGAATCTTTTTTAATAAAGATTCACAAAATTATGCTACAGATGTGTTCATAATTTACAGTAAAATTGACAATAAATTTTAAGGCGCCATTGCTAAAAATTTATTAAAATGTTCATTTTAAAAATCCTTATAGACATTGATGTCTTGTTTGTGATTTGCCAGAATATTCAAAATATTAATTTTACAATGTAAAAAATATATTTATTTTATGAGATTATATAAATAAGATTTTATAAAATATAAAAAAAATATGGAAAATTAAATAGTTATAATGTTAATTATATTTTATTGAGATTCAAATAATGGAACTAAACGATTATTGAGATATTTATAAAATTCCTGGCATGACATATTATAATTTTGTTTAACCTTTAGCTCGGCCTCTAAGGTTGTTAAAGCAATCCGATTTCTCTTTTTTCTCCAGGCACTAAAGCAATCCGATTTCTCTTTTTTCTCCAGGCACTTCTCATCAGGCTAAAAATGCGTTCCGAAAGAATGAGGTAAGGAGAAAACATACTCGCATATTTATTCCAAGCATTGGGATTTATCTTTATTACGAAAAAATTCTACCCATTTCTCTGCTTTTAGACCATCTAATTTAAGTATTCTGGCAAATAGTGAGAATTACTATCTCCTCAAATAAGACATCAATGTCTATCGGTATTTTTAATATATTAATTAAATTACAAAACCATCAATGATGGTTTCCGTTCCAAGGCCATAATATTAATACATTTGTAAATAGAGTTATTAAAATCAAATTTTGATTGTAAATATTCTAAAATTGCCTTAATAAAAATATCTGCCTCATTTAAAAATATATTAATTAGAGTTTTATTTGAACATTTTAATCTAATATTTTTAGCAATAGCGCCATAAAATTTATTATCAATTTTTAACTGTAGAGATGAATAGTGCTGTAGCATGATTTTGTGAAGAATCTTCTGATTACAACTGAATATCAACTGCATGAAGTAGATTTCCTACATGTGAAACTAATCTCAAATATGCTTCTGCCATTTCATCCTCGAAAAAATTTTTCAAAATTTTTGGACACTTTTTAAAATCTTTATTTAAGAAGTATTTTTTAAAGGGTTCTTAAAATTTTAAAATTCTATCTATGGCAGGTATTAATGATCCTGATAGGTAGGTGTCGCAACAACTAACACCATTTCAAGTCAGACCACTCCACCAACTTTTTTAATTCATTAATAATTCACACAAATTGAACGTTTCAACGCAGCAAACGCAAATAATGCATTAAATTGGACAGCATTTATTTTATTTTAAATTTAGACGTTCATATTAAAAATAATAAAAATTAACGGTTACATTTAAACATAGCTGCGTTTACGTTTAATTGTTTGCTTATTTAAACGCTGCTTTGAAAAGTTAAATTTATGCGCACTATAACTCTTTTACTTGATGAACTAAACCGTTAAAACATTTATCATAATTATTTCGACATACGGATAGTAGATTCTTTCCCTTCTTTCAAGAATTACGTAGTATATGGCATATACTGTCAATTGATATTAATTCATTATTTTGCTGCCTCAATTCGGTAAATACACTTTGGTTTGTGCCAAAATCCACAGAGGATTTATCAGCGCAAAAAGTTGACATGCAACTCGTTGATAACCCTGAATCAGGTATTACCATTATGTGGTTAGCTATATCATTGAATTTTCCACTATCCAAAGAAAATTTTTTTAAACATTTTTATTGAAATGAATTCTTGTTGCCCTAGATGCATCTGTTAGAATTGCATATGGGTGCCTATTTTTCAAATCGTCTAGAATTGACCTCTTGGATTCAGGTCCTAAAACATTTGTGATAGCCTTGCTCATTTTTGTTCTACCACAAGTAAAGTTTGCACTTATATATTGGAGTCGTTAAATATTATGTGGAAAAGATTCCACCTTGTGATAATAGAGCTCTGTGAATGTTGAACCACATGATAGGTGTATTCGATTTTCGCAACTGTAGTTGCATCTGTATTATTTTTTATTTTTGGAGAATATTTTTGTATTGCAATCTGTTGATATAATCCCCTATACTGATTTATGAATGAAATAATGTTGATTTATTATTGGATAAAAATAAAACAGGATGGAAAGAAATTTACAAACTAGATATGTTTTTCGAATAAATATTTAAAATTTATTTTAAAAATATAAAAATAATCAATTACTGTCTCACAAAATTATTATTTATATATAAAAAAACGTTTAAATGCTAAAAAAAAATTGCGAGAGAACTTAAAAAATTGCGGGAGATTTCCAATTCCGGTAGTTTTGCGGGAGTGAGATGTCTGCCTGCAAACGAAAAAATTACGGGAGTCTCCCGCTGATGAGAGGAGACATGGCAACCCTGTCTACGAGGCGATAGTTGTTAATATTCAAAGAACTTAGTAATTATTATAGCGTTTACTTTAATCGCTAACAATGCGTTGTCCTAAATATGTTATTTAAAAAAAGGTATTTTTGATAGTTTTATTTTTATTCCCACGTGATTAAAAGGTTTCTTGGTCTGTGGGTTCTGTAATAATAACATGATTTAATCACTCTTATATTTTGGTATGCCTTTTAATAATTTTTCTATAACCTTGCAAATACTTGGCATATTAACTATCCTAAAGTGAGAATATCTAAGGTCAAAATAATTTTTTGTGTTCTTTGTCAATTTCTATCTGTAGGTAAGCGTCACAAAAATCTAGTAGTAAACATACTACCACCTAATTTGCTTATGTCTTTGAGTAGGCTTGATTGATTAACTGTTAGATACGAATTTAAAGTTATATAAAGTCTCCATAAATTCTTACTACCATCTTTCTATAATAAATTTATAGTTTGAATAGCCTATTTAATTGAGGTTGTTGGATTAGATCACCACCCTTTATGACTTTACCCATCACTACAGATATATTTATTGCACTTGTTAAAATATTCTAAAACTTATCTAGATATAGATACAATTTTTATTATACATTTAAGGTTTTCATGCCCAATTTGTGATATAATTGTTAAAATTTTAATTTAGAATTTAGTTAGAAAATTTATTGAGTTTGATATTGTTGTAGCCGTTAAAAAAAAGAAGAAATAACTTTAATATAATACACTAAATGTCAGTCATTTTCTGATATTAATAATTAATTTTTCCTTGG